TGAGATATTGTCTGGATCATACAGGGAAATGTTTATGATTGTGGAAAGAGTTATATTTATACATAATTACCAACTTTTATACATATTTAACAACTTTCTTCTAATATATATGCTTATTATGTTTCTTTTGTCAATTTGACACGAACCTTAGGCTCCCTCAAGTAAAAGCCGCTAAAGCATTTTACAATACAAAATCATCACTGAAAGCGCCGGAATATTCCGACTTGGCGATCTGAAGGTGAAACAAGCAACTGTAGGTTGCTCTAGGGACTATCTTCTGCAAATATTAGTTCCGACATTATTCAACCCGTGAAGGTCCGGGTTAGAATATTGATCTTCAGTAACCCATGCTTGTCGTAAGAGGCGACTAACGGGATCGGGTGGTCAGGCTCGCTGACTTGGTTGACACATGTCATCGGTTCCCAGTTGTGGAGATCGATGCTCATGCTGTTGATCACTGGATTGTCTGGTCCACACTCCATTATTTACAGACCGCCGCCATATAGCTGGAATATTGCTGAGTGCGGCGTAAAACTAAACTCACTCACTCACTCAAACATTATTCACAGTCAACGTTTTCCAGTTGTAGATATATGATTGACACAGATACAACTGACCTGCAAACTGTGACAGTGTTATGCTGTTAGATGATGTAGCACCATCAGTACATGTCCATGTCCCGCTGTCTCTGGTGGAATTTGCTGACGCGATGTCTAGAGTCAGGATCCTGGATGTACTGTCCAGACTCACATTGTATCCTGACACAGATGTCCCACACCTGCCTGATGATAAGCAGCCTCCTGGTTAGAAGTAAGACCCTTGTAGAAGAGAGCAGATCCACTGATAGCTGCATCTAGTGTACAGGTGATGCTGAAACTGACACCTTCGACAGGAACACGTCTGTTGGTGGCAAGAACTGAAGCTGACTCTGAAACAGTATGACGTGCTGGTTGTTTGTTTCAAATGTTGCTAGTGAGCGTGTTATGCTTTGAACAGTCTTTCAGTTGCACGTTAGTGTGATATGGGGAGTATTTGTGCGTTGTCATTTAAATAGCACACACGAATAAAATGGTTTTGAAAAGGGGGGGAATTTAGATTTCGAGCGATCATTTATATCTTTTGCCATGGATCATTCATATTTGCAGTACCAACATTGTGGAACAGTCTTACTTCTCCCATAAAAGATGCTTCACCCTCAGACTCATTCAAATCGGGACTCAAAACCTTCCTTTTCAAAACATTCTACAACGAATAACTGCCAACTATTCTGATGGTCATTTTGACGAACTGTCATATTTTCCTCATAAACTATTGTGACTCTTTTGTATGTAGTGCTTTGAGCATGCTCTGGATTGACTATGATTGACAAGAAATATCCATTTATTATTATAATTATTATATTATATCGCACTTTTACAGGACCGATTTCCGACCAAGCCCTTTTGTGTAACAATCCAAATCCACGATTTTATTTTTCTTTCTTTCTAAAGTCTGGTACAGATGCTACCTTGTTAAGCTGCAACATATCCTCATTTCAGGAATCAAAGTTCGTTCTTGGGTTAGAAGTTTGTCATCAAAGAATATGCCAACGTGCCTTCATGCGTCTTGTTTTCCTTTGGTACTAGATAATCAATTTTTTTCAGATATAATACCGATCTGAATATCACTTGAAATACGTTCGTCAACATCTGTTCAACAGGAATTGTGCCGATCTGCGAATCTAATCTAACGAAAGGGAGGTGACTCCAAACACCAAGTCCCGCTTTTCGGCAGGGTCGGCAGTTTTCATATTGAATGCTATTATTTATGTTTCAAAGCCCAACGATTATAACTAGAAATGTAGCGTTACCATCCAAGTCGGCTAATGTTATATTCTGGCTGGAAATAAAAGCGTCTGTTCAACCAGATAATCCCTCGGACAAGCTTTGCCTCTCAACTGTCAACCCAGCCAGAAGGTCAACATGTGCATAGTGTTTAGGGTACGTTTGTTGTATAGCAAGACATTACGTGTAAGCAGCAGTATGTAGCACGGACCTGCACCTACCACAAGGCCGTATGTGAGCAGTATCCAGCAGAACAAGCAGTGGAATTAACTCCAGAAACACACGTAGACTCATTTCATTGCTTGCAGCCTACCTGCATAGGTGGTGTCTGACAATACCAGCTGACCCCGGGTGGCTCAGTGGTAGACTAGGGTGCATAGGTAGTTGGATGAATAGACAACTGTAAATGTCCCGACTTTCCTTTCATTATGAGCGTATCAGACTTCGAAAAGCTATAAATGCATTGTAGTAACACTGGATCCATGTCAAATATGCAATGAGGAACTTAAATTCATGTCTGTATATTGAGAGTAAGTTGGCCACATTTAGCAACAGTCAGTCCATTTTAAAAGAGTCCTGTAGTTGAAATACAACATTAACTGCAATGTTCTCTGTTACACAATACATATTCTATTTTTATATTGAAGAAACTGAAAAAAAATGTAAGCCAAACTCACACTTATATGATGTGCATTCGAGACACACAATGTCTATATTTACAGCAACTTGGGCATGCTCATGATAGATATCAGATACGCCCGAGATACATGATACATGTTCAGTATATAAAGTGTCAGTGATAAACATCTCCCACTGGTACACACATATCAAAATACGAGATTATTCAATATTCAGTTTGGTACAGATGAACAGCCAATAGTCATTCTAACCCGTATTTGACTTAACAGCAGGAAATGATGCACACGCTTGTCATTAGTAGGATATATCTGGAATACATGACAAACAACATCAGTTAATTCACTTATTCTCTTGAGCCAATCAGCTGCAGGCAACCAATGTACATAGTTTCTAGGTCCTTACTACTACGTAAATAGCGAGTGAGTCTGGCATTTGAATGGCTAACCAAACATTTGTTACAACTTACACACGCCGTACTTTACGAATCGTGTCAGGATTGCGTCGTGGTGATGCAAAGAAACAGTTTATAATAGATCACTTGCATAGGTATGATGTCAGTAAATACGTCGTATTTTACAATCATGTAGTTTCTTTTCAACCCGGGAAGACACACATTCAATGGTAATCATGATTAACGCGAGTGAACGTTTCACACAAACTATACAAAGTATTGTGTCCCTTACGGTTACTCGTAGTAGACGGTTGTCTCAATGTTGCAGCTGGTTTTAACGCATATATTCAGCGACGACGCTGTATAGGCTGCTGTCTACATAATGCGACCCAGTCGCCTATTTATGTTGCATTCTTAGTTGTCAGTGCTTGGCGAGTGGGTGCGCAAAGAGTAGTCTACCTTCAGCCGTCGCCCCAATATATACTGAGAGAAACAAATAAAGGATCACAGGAAAATTCAAGCGTTCCTTAATTATTTTCCAGTTTCCATCACCACAGCGCTATTCAACGCTGGTGATGAAAACTGGAAAATATTAAAGGATAGCTTGAATTTTCTCGTGATACTTTTTTTGTTTCTCTCAGTATATCTCCTACCTGTGCTTGGTGAGAGTGTGTGTGCAAAGTTTATTTCACCTTCAACCGTCGCCCCAGTATGTCGCCTATTTATTCCTAGTGAGTGGGTGTGCAAAGGGTATTCCATCTTAAACGTCACAGATATATCCTGAATTGTGTTCATATAGGGCATAGTATTATATCCACCAAATTATCACTTTATAGAATCTCATAGCTTAGCATTTCCAGTAAACACCTTGTTCAAACTACATCCCATTTACCCATACTTCCAACATCGAATTCTCACAGATATTTCGGCCCCACCTGGCACGGGCTGTCAGACGCAACAGCAAATTCACAGATGTATACTGAATTATGTTTAATGTGCAGTTACAATACAACATGCAAAGATAAATTGCCGTTAAAGTAAAACCCATTTCCCTCTACATTTCCAACATAGCCACAACAGTTTAGCTGTTTTTTTCACAGGAGGTTGAGCTAGACGGAGGTCATGGTAAATAGGTGAAGGACATCTTTAAGTCGTTGTTGTTTGCTGCAGCTATAATGCTGCTGTTGCTGCTGAACGCCCTTGCTGGTCGAATGCTGCCGCTAGTTGACTGCTGCTGGGACTCAAGGTGATATATACGAATATGATGTCACGTGTCATGGGCCTAGAAATACAGGGACACGTGTTGGCAGAAGACCGGGACTATCCTCAGGATCTCCAGGAGGATAATCCCTTGTCCCCTCGAACATGTTTGACTGAGAATGACAGAAGACATGACAAAACAATTCCTGGAAGATCTAGTTCTGAGAGGGTCTACATCTGATAAAAAAAACTCATCACAGGTCTTCAGTCCAAGTTGAAGTATATGATTCATTATCAATATCTGAAATTTTACCTCTCTTTGGTTCACAGGATGTTCCAAATCAACCACGAAACTTGGCTGGAAGATTACATTGAATTTTAACCCATTGTGGTGTAAGTTCAAGATTCATTTTGAAAAAAAATGATGACTACAAATTGATACCTTTATTCAGTCTTCGGTCCTCGGTGAATTCTTCATGGAGATCAGTATAGCTTACCTTTCAGTGATGTTCAAGAATGAGAAGATTAAATGTAAAGACGCTTGCAATGGCTACTTCTCTCCGGTTCGAATTATTATAATAACGATGACAATGGTGAGTGTATGTGCTCTTTCCGACATGTTGAATATTTTCCCCAAGCCCAGCCAGTCTGTCAGGACATTGATTGCTGCGTGTAATTTTGGCTGTTTGATGTTTTTTATTTTATATTTTATTTAGCAGGGAATTTAAGTTTGTGTGACCTGTTTGTAATGCAATGACTGAAACACGATTTATTGTGGCGATAGTAATCGATATGGTCAATCAGATCACTGGGGTAGTTCTGTATAAGCGTGAATTGGCTGTGGATCGGAAAGATCACTTAGAAGAACTGTATGGAAATAAATCGTCGATTGTTGATTCTCGATCATTCCCCTTTATTACGAATCAACACAAATGATCACACATGACGATTGGAAGTTGTCCATTTATTGGGCGCTTCAAGACATTTTACAAGCGATTCTTTTGGTTTTTTACGAGTCTCCTGATGAATTTATCCGGTTGATACAGGAGTAGTTTGTGTCACAGAGCAAGTGTTCAACAAGGATAATTGCCTCTTCGAAGTTTTGATTGACTTATGTAGTTACATGCACTGTGTCCGTGCCATCTGCTGCAATTCAGAAGCTGGGTGTAACGTCTGCAAATAAAAGAGAGGAAAATCAATAATAACTACAATGCACAAGTTCTTGTTTTGTGCCCTAGTTATCGCATTCAAATTCTAGCTGTGTGAGCCGAAATGCCCCGTTCCCTATCACTATATACTAATTATTATTTTACTACAGGTTCAATCCTGGTGTTCTTAAAAGACAGTTACAGTGGAATGTTTGGACCAAGGAGTGATTCTTCACTCAAAAGGAAAATAGCCAGGAAATAGTCTCTTTCGTGTTGATTCCATTGTGTTCTTTCCATGTCCATCGCCTTGAAAACAAACAAGGGGATAAGGCAGATACGGTCGAACCGTTCTTGGTAGAGGACCGTGCAATGAAATGTACAATCTTGTAACGTGACTGAGTTTAGTTTTACGCCGCACTCAGCAATATTCCACCTATATGTCGGCGGCTTGTAAATAGGCTTTTTACCCTTGTCAATGGTTTTATTCATAGGATCATAGTGGTTTCTTTGGATACCGTTTTTTTTCAGTGGCAGCATTTGTTTCTCCTCAAGCATTTCTTGAGACAGATTGTTCGCAATGACACGACCACTTGTCAGTTTGACAAGGGATGATGAATACATTTACACTAATCATAGAAAAACCGTGAGGTCACAGGGCATGAATATTTAGTGAGGGAGCCATGAGATACCTCATGGGTTAAAACACTCGCATGCAGCCTGGATTTATTCTTTGTGAATTTGATCTTTGAAAGTATTACGTCCGAGTCAGGAAAGTACAAAAGATTGCCAATTCAGACCTCCCATGTGACTAATATGTATATGTTTAAATATATATTCCCGTCCCTGTGCAAAGATGGTGACAACTGAATGAATGTATATATTATCTATTACTTAATTATTTTCCAATAGATGCCTCTTTTTGGTCAATTTTCAATTTTCACTATTCTAATTACCCTCAACAGTTTAGGTAAGTATGCATGAAATTAAAACATGTAAGAAATTGTTATCAATGCAAATGATAAGGTTATCTACAGGAATATAGCTTATTGTTTCAGCTGTGAAAGTGAAATAACAAATTCTCCTCAAAAGAATAAGCAATAATGATATTCAAATCAGATTAACACTACAACTGAATATATATGTCCCTCTTCAACTGACAAATGGTCTGCAGAGTGATATAACTTCCTCAGAGCTTTCGTTCTTTTCCTTTTCATTTTCGTGCTTGATTTTAATTAATGTTTAAAGTCACATTTTCATGTGAAGAGTTTGGATAGAAGAAAACACAAGTACAAGACAGACATACCCTCCTCAAGTATGGAGAAATGTTTAAATTTTCTGTTGACACATCCATAGTAATAAGCAGTGGTTTACTCATGCACACATGCGTGTCGTGTTTCGTGAAGCTGAACAGGCTGCGATTTTATCTTGATCAAGAATTTGCTTGGGATTTCATATTTGGAGCCATATGAATTATGTTTTGAGCTTCTGTTCTATATCCTACAAAGAATGCATCAACGATTATTGTAAGTGGACTAATGGTCCTTCAGGACATTATGTCGGAGGAGGTAATTGTTTGTTATATTTCCGGCACACATTGTTGTTCACCTGTGACTATGGTCGTCAACTGTGTCAATAGAGATTATAACGGTGTCAATAGAGATACCAAAACATAGCTGACAGAGATATACAGGTGACTCAGTAGATATACAACAATCTGTCGACAGGCTATCAGATTTGTGGTTCAGAGTTAGGCAGATGCAACCAGACAAGGGGAATCCCACTTCCCTGACGAGGTGTCAATAACATACATGTTGTGCTTGCAGACCCTTTTCTTGGGTAAGACTTCGGCAACAAATTCTAATACTAGTTCCTGGTAGGTCAGGCCAGTTGGTGATAAGAAAGTCTTTGTAGACTTCTGACACCGCGCATAATGTTCTCCCGGGTTGCGAATGCGTACATAACATACCTGTGAGAATTGAACTGAACATACTCTTTGTTTTGCATTAAAAGGGAGACAACTGATATCAGGATGATACTGTCTTTGTCAGCTGTGTAAATTTGATAAGACCCAACTATGTGGTAGGCCGAATGCAACTTGCACAAATGACCCTGATATGATTTCAGTGTGCACCAAAGTATAGCAATATATTGTGATACTAGACCCGTGTGTTGGTCCGCCCTCCTTACCGTTTTGTGAAGGATGGTTGTCAGTTGTACAATAAATCTCACTGGATCACGAGTTTTGCTGTTCCCTGTCAGGCGCTGGCAACGTGGCGTCATTACAGTATACCAACAAATAGTTGTGCATGGGCATTGATATATAAATATACAAATAAGTACACGTTTAAAGAGATCTACGATTGCACTAAGTGGCAGTCACTGATTGACTATCTTTAACAAGCACCCACACAAAACACACGCACACACTGTCTTTATATATTTGGAAGCACACACATGCACATCCACAACTCAAGCGAACGCAAACACATGCAGACACAAACACACACATACGCGGACGAACACAAAAACTAACAAGTACACAAGAACACACACACAGTCGCTGTTATCGACCATAAAAGGCGTACAGACACAAACTATCTCTGTTACGTACAACCTTAGCCTTCTCGAGCACCTGCTTATAGTGAGCCGCGGTTGATAGATCCTAGATCAGATATATGATAACACATATATCATTGAAGAGGACACACACACACGTACAAAAACACTCTCACAATCTCTGTCACTCTTCACTAAGGAGGAATAAAAGATTATATTACAGTTTTGGATGAACTGATTTGCATTGCCTTTAATATGACTGTAGACATTATCATTTAACGTGCCATCCTGTATTCTCATCCCATTACGTTGTTGTTTTTATCAAATGGCATGTATTTCTCTGATTACAAGTTATAATTTAATATACAAAATACTGCTCCAAACGCAGTTTGTTGACCATGTGCATGGTGTGGCGAAAAGGGTCTATTGACATAGTTGCATGACGTACAGACCAAATTCATGATAAGCATGCATGTTGTGTAGTGAAAATACAACGTACGTGTGCGATGCTTCGTTCTGCATAGTTGATTCGAAATTAACATAAAGCAGTTCTTCAACAACGTTTGGTAAGACGAATGACGGTTTTACTGTGATAGTTGAACTTGAAAAGTCCCTATGAGATTGCCAATGTGATACAGAAATATATGTTTGTCTGTGTCATAATCATCTGTAACACAACACAACTGTATCGATATTATTTTATTGCCAGAACTGATGACATTTCGGTGTTGATCCTAACAGCGATATCAAGCAAATGATACACAACATCATTCACAAGGAGAATATATACATGAGGGACATATGGGTTTATGCAGTTGACGAGGTTGCAATAAAGAAGTTGTCTATCCAATAAAAGTGTTCCTCTACATATCCAAGTAGTTCTATCACGTGTCACAGATACACATGTAACTGTCAGAGGATCGTGTCAGGAAAGGCGAAAACATAATCAGATGTGATTGTTGGTGTTGGTGGTGGACAACGTGGCGGTGGCTACAACGAAATAGAGGTTAGGTATTTAACTTAAGGAATTCTATGTCACATTCATATTCAGTCTATATTCTATAATATACTTTAATACCAACCTGGGACATCCAAGTTAATAGAGCTATCCTTTCCACCAAAAGCTGCATCACATGTCCAGGTAGTTTTGTCACGTATCACAGATGCAGATGTGATACTGAGAGTAAAGCTAGTTCCAGGACAGTCGAAGACGTAATCAAATGGAATAGTTGATGCTGATTTTGGCGTTTCACATGTTGCTCGTGCCACCTCGTAAATAACACTTGCACCTCTTTTCCAAATAATATGTGTCTCAGTGGCAGAACCAGTTTCACAATTTAAAACACAGCTGCTTCCCTCAGTGACTACACCCCCACAGGATGACGTGAGAACATACGACTGTCCATGCACTGAAACAGATGAGAAGAGACTCCTATAAAAGCGCCTATTGAAAAAACACATTGATTTTATGTAATTTATCATTTTATCAGAATAATATGTATATCAGATTCCTTCCCCAATTTTCTCTACTCAAATCACTGTAATATACTTTCAATAGTGGGCATTATTTCAATGTGCTGATGTTTGTTGTATGAAAAGCTGATGATGGCTTCCACAACCGAAGGACATAATTATGTTAAGAGAAGGACCATGTTTTCGACATCTTCTGCAGTGGTAAACACAGTCGTAATTGTATGAAACTTGTTGCCATGGAAGCTTGGAAAAGACATCATTTTTTGTCATCGAATTTGGAAATGCACTCTACATGTCCACCATGAAACTTTTTGAAAGCTTTACTGGGGCCTTGAATGTTGTGACCTTGAACTAATGAGCAAGAGTGGTATGTCGCCGTTTTTAGTCTTGCATGTTCGATTGTACCTCAAAGGTTCTGAAATGTAGACACAAAAGGCTGGACCTGTTGGAATATTGGTCGATATGAAAAATAAACTTCCAGGAGGTATAATGTGTGTGAGAGACATTCCATCTGGTCAAAGGGTATATTTGAAATAGATGGTTATGTCAGTTTCCGCCAGAGTAGAATAAATAACGAGCAATCCAAATGCCACAAATCCTCGTGGGACAGGCTGTGCAATATTTGTAAAGTCAGACTTGTCCTTCAGCGGGCATAAGTTACCTAAAACTGTTTTCGAATCCAATGCAGTTTGAACTTTCTTCGAAGAAAATAAATCAATCTCAGTGATTCTTGTTTACAATACGGGAAAGCCTAATGTAAACAATTTTAATAGTCACAGTGTGTTGTTGTATGCAATAAAAGAGACTTTACTGGAACGGTTGTTGAAAATAGACCTGGTGATTTTAAATGATGGTATAATGACCAGAATGGATTTGGGGAGATGGGTGTTTTCAGGCCATGGAGTCTTGTAATATATCCCTCTCATTAGCTCCTAAATATAACTAGGATGTATTCCAAAACAATGCTTTAGGTGGTGATCACTTCCCAGTATTACTGAAAGTCAGCTTAGCTTTGAACGTACGCGTCTCATGTTCGAAATTTAAACATGCAAACTGGTGGGAGTTTTCTTCTCTTTATGAGACACATAATACATACAAACTAATAAGACGTTGGTGTTTCAAACGGTAATGTTATTTCTAAACTTACTGGAGACAACTATAGGAAAATCATCCAGACTTTCATTTCACTGGTGGTATGATGGATGAGAAAAAGCAAATAAAACACGAGAACAAGCCTGCAATAGGAATTGTCAATTCCATGTGAACTGGATATGTTTAGGAAGAAACGTGCCGAATTCCAACGTATAATCCACATGACCAACGCTCTAATTGGCGTGGTAATCTTCCAAGTATAAATAGATTTACTCCATTATCTTCCTCTTGGTCTAAAAATAAACTCTCGGCGATTCTCATATCCGTTGTCCTACACCTGTTCTAGGCAGAGACGGCAGTATTGTGACCAATATTCATAAGGCAAACGCGCCAGCTGATCGATTTAAAACCAGGGGCGTAGTAGCTACCACTATAAAAAAAGCCCGGGCTTACACATGACTTTTACTAAAAATCACCATGAAAGTAGGACAAGCCCTTTACGCTATCTAAATATAAAGCTTAGCAGCCTATCGGGTTTACAGGGAAAAAAATGGCTTGGTAGGCGCATGAAAAGTGTAGCTCTGATATCTTCAGAGGGATTTTAGAGAAGTCAAAGGATCCATTTCAACATTTCACTGTCCAAGCGAAAGTAGGTATTTTCCCCTAAACATTTGAATTCTGAATTTCATACAATAACATTAAATTACGAAGCATATCCAAGTTTCATAAAGGAGCATGTATAAGTCATAAAATGGGATTGACGATTGGTGAAAACGTGCAGATGAAATGCCTCTTACTTCACTTTCCACACGTCAAGTTTTAGACAAACCAAAATAACGCAACCCAGATGTGAAATGCAAACCAGCTAGAAGAACGAGGAATGGTCATGAATATCAGAATGTTCAGAGATACAATGTGCGTTGTGTCATTGCACTTCGATTGCGTACATCTCCGGCCTAAAAATAAAAACCCATTTTACAAGCAGGTATAAAAAGCTAAATATAGAACGTCAGTGCAAAAGAATACACTCAGTCTTGACTATACTCAGAAACAAATTCCGTTTGGTGTAAAGGGAAAATTAGCCGTGAAAATACTATGATTATACCACTGAAGTCAATAATGACACAAGTTTTCGCGGAAAGGTTAAGTATGTGCTGCCCTGCCAGTAACAGCCGCCATTCACAAAATATGCCTAAAATTGGAAGTCTTCATTTTATCTGACGCTCTTGCCATGCGACGGCTGCATGTAAACAAACCAGGCAATCAAGTGATCGATCGGCTGGAAAATACAAAAAAGATAATTTTGAATTTGTATGCAGAAGAATACACATTCAGTTTTAATGTCACGGGACACATATTTCTTTAGCAGGCACGGTTAAACATGCCAGAGCGCTTGAGACTTCAATACACCAGGTGAGTGAGTTAGCACTCATTGTTAGCAATATTCCCGCAATAGCACGGCGGTGGACACTAGAAATGGGCTTCACACACATTGTGCCCATGTCGGGAATCGGACCAGGGCCCCCAACATGACGAGCGCACGCTTTTAACTACTCCAGCACAAATACCACACCGATCCCGTTGAATTAATAAACCACTCAATTCAAGAATGTTTAAGTGACCTACCCACCACAAATCCAAACTGTAAAGACAAAACGGCAGTCACTTGTAGAAATATGTTCATTTTCGAAACGGAAGTTATTACTGTGGATTGTTGGGATAGAACGATTTCGGTCGAGTCTGTTTGTATCAATCCACTTTCTCTCACACCACTACACCTTTATCGTGTAAGCTTCTGTGCCTCTTTGAATGTACATGTATGGTTTGACTAAACTGGCTGTTATCTTGTGCCCGACAAAAAGTACTGCTGGGCACAACTAAGCCAGCCTGGTTCCCCGGTTATGCTGCACTGGCGCTACTTATCAGCTGGGTCCCGCCTGTTGCATTGTCCCTCCCATTGCAATAAGGGACCGTTCATAATTTATTGCTAGGGGTGTGGATGGGGTGTGGTGTGCAAGTGTGTCTGTGTGTGGGTGGGTGTGTGGGGTTTGATGAATATTATGGAGAAGACCGTAGAATGCCCCCCTACCCCCTAAAATTTATGTGCCAAGTAAGTGACACCCCCAGCATGTCATGTACAAAACTAATGACACCCCCCAGTACATGCGTACAACCTACCTCTCCAGAACAAATGGGTGACCCCCACTCACCCCACCCCACTCGACACACACACACTCACTCAAACAGTTAAAATGACATTTCATAACAAGTCGGCTTTATGCCGAAACAGACTGTGCACAAAATACAAAAAAGTGATGACACTCATAGCATAGGAATGGATTATATAAAGTAGGTGATTGCATCGAGTGTACACGAAAGGTTTAAGCATGCCCTGCTACCGTACAACCTCAGACGCGCAGCCGCTCCGGTTTATGCATGTGAGTGAGTTATTCATCTAAATCCTCAATGTCTGCATGTTTATACACTAAGGACTATTATAAATAGAAAAAGGGGTTTGGGCTCCTTACGTTTTATTCATTCAAGAGAAACGGTGATTAGTAGCAGAGACTCATAATTTTATTCACACCTGATAACCGTCCAGTTCGAAACGAAACATGTAAGAGGGCAGTGGCGTAGTCTTGCTGTTGAAGGCACGGGTTCCATCCCGACATGGATAGAATGTGTAAAGCCGATTTCTGTTGTCCCCGCCGTGAAATTGCCGGAATATTTCTAAAAACCCAACGCTCGCTGTAACAGAGCTGTCTGTCGACTGATTGACATCAGGGGATGCTATCTTCCCGGGAATACATGTACAACAGGATTGATAAATGTATTTTGGATAAGAGATATCGTTACTCATTAACAACGAACTTGTTTGTCATTAGGATTAATGTCCAAATCGCATAACATTGGTTAAACGTACTCTTTCAATTTCCGACAGGGACTTAAGAACACATCCAACACTGCGGGCTATTACAAGAATCAGTAGCAGTAGTGATGATAGTAGTAGCATTAGGTGCTGCTAATGATAGTAGTAGTAGCAGCAGCAACAGTAGTAGTAGAAGTAGTAGTAGCAGTAGTAGTAGTAATAGAAGTAGAAGTAGTAGTAATAGTAGTAGTAATAATAACAGCAGTAGTAGTAGTAGTAGCAGTAGTAGTAATGGTAATAGTAGTAGTAGTAGCAGTAGAAGTAGTAGTAATAGTAGTAATAATAATAGTAATAGTAATACTTGTAGCCGTAGTAGTAGTAGCAGCAGTAGTAGTAGTAGCAATAGTAGTAGCAGTAGTAGTAGTAATAGTAGTAGTAGCAGTAGAAGTAGTAGTAGTAGTAGTAGCAGCAACAGTAGAAGTGGTAGAAGTAGTGTGTGGTAGTAGTGGTAGCGGTTGTAGTAATAGTAATAGTATTAATAATAATAGTAATAGTAAAACTTGTAGCAGTAGTTGTAGCAGTAGTAGAAGTAATACTAATGGCAGTAGTAGTAGTAGTAGTAGTAGTAATCTTAGTAGTAGTAGTAGTAGCAGGATGATGGTAGTGAGTAGTAGTAAATAATAGAGTAGTAGTAGTAGTAGTAGTAGTAGTAATAGTAGTAGTAGTAGCAGTGATAACAGTGAGTAGTAGTAGTGGTAGCAGTGGTGAGTAGTAGTAGTAGTAGTCATAGTAATGGTAGTAGTAGTAATAGTAATGTAGTAGTTTGGTGTGGCAGTAGTTGTAGCAGTGGTAGTAGTAGTAGTAGTAGTAGTAACACTAGTAGTAGTAGAGTGAGTAGTGGTAGTAGTAATAGTAGTAGTGTGTAGTGTAGTAGTAGTAGTAGTAGTATTAGTGGTAATTAGTGTAACAGTAGGTAGTAGTAGTAGTAGTGAGTTAGTAGTAGTAATAATAGTGAGTAGTAGAGTAGCAGTAGTAGTAGCAGTGGTAGTAATAGAAGTAGTAGTAGTAGTAGTAGTAGTGAGTAAAAGTAGGTGAGTAGTGTAGAGCACAATAGTAGTAGTAGTAGTAGGAAGTAGGTGGTAGATGTAGTAGTAGTGGTAGTAGTGAGTAGTAGTAGTGGTGGTAGTAGTAGTAGTAGTAGTAGTGGTATAGTAACAGTAGCAGTAGTAGTGAGTGGTAGTAGAAGTAGTGTGTGGTAGTAGTAGTAGTAGTAGTAAAGTAGTAGTTGTAGTAGCAGTAGTAGTAGTAGCAGTAGTAGTAGTAATGTAGAGTAGTAGTAGTAGTAGTGGCAGTGGTAGAGTAGTCCTCCTCCTCCTCCTCTCCTCCCTCTCCTCCTCTCCTCTCTCCTCTCTCCTCCTCCTCTCCTCTCCTCTCTCTCCTCCTCCTCCTCCTCCTCCTCTCCTCCTCCTCCTCTCCTCCTCCTCCTCCTCTCTCTCTCTCCTCCTCCTCCTCCTCCTCCTCTCCTCCTCCTCCTCCTCTCTCTCCTCTCCTCCTCTCTCTCTCCTCCTCTCCTCCTCCTCCTCCTCCTCCTCTCCTCCTCTCCTCCTCCTCTCCTCCTCCTCCTCCTCTCTCCTCTCTCCTCCTCTCTCTCCTCTCCTCCTCCTCCTCCTCTCCTCTCCTCTCTCCTCTCTCCTCCTCCTCCTCCTCCTCCTCCTCTCTCCTCTCTCCTCCTCCTCTCTCCTCTCTCCTCCTCTCCTCCTCCTCCTCTCTCTCTCCTCCTCCTCTCCTCCTCTCTCCTCCTCTCTCCTCCTCTCCTCTCTCTCCTCTCTCTCTCTCCTCTCTCCTCCTCCTCCTCTCTCCTCTCTCTCTCTCTCTCCTCCTCCTCCTCCTCCTCCTCCTCCTCTCTCCTCCTCTCCTCTCTCTCCTCCTCCTCCTCCTCTCTCCTCCTCCTCTCTCTCTCTCCTCCTCCTCCTCTCTCCTCCTCCTCCTCCTCCTCTCCTCCTCTCTCCTCTCCTCTCCTCCTCTCTCCTCTCTCTCCTCCTCCTCTCCTCTCCTCTCTCCTCCTCCTCTCCTCCTCCTCCTCCTCTCTCTCCTCTCCTCTCTCTCTCTCTCCTCTCTCCTCTCTCCTCTCTCCTCCTCCTCCTCCTCTCCTCCTCCTCCTCCTCTCTCTCCTCCTCTCTCCTCCTCTCTCTCCTCTCTCCTCCTCCTCTCTCTCTCCTCCTCCTCTCCTCTCTCTCCTCCTCTCTCTCTCCTCTCCTCTCTCTCTCATCTCTCCTCCTCCTCCTCCTCCTCCTCTCCTCCTCCTCTCCTCCTCCTCCTCCTCTCTCCTCCTCCTCTCTCTCTCCTCCTCCTCATCCTCTCCTCCTCTCTCCTCTCTCTCCTCTCTCCTCTCCTCCTCTCGTCGTCGTATGTAATGTCATCCTCATCTCGTCTCCTGTCAATCAATCAGTCCTGTGTGTTCAATATCCAATAAAGTAATAGTATAAGTGTATCGTAAATCAAAATCGTGTAAATCATGTAAAAAAAATCGTCATCAGTCATGTGTAAATGTCATGTGCTGTCAAAGTAGTAAGTAATGTGAACATCCATGCTCAAGTAGTAATAGTAAATAATAAGTAAATGTCAAGTAAAATAAAAGTAGTAAATAAGTCATAAGTAATGTGAAATAGTAAATGTGTAAAAATAACTTTGCTGAAATGTAAGTAACAAAATTATGTAAATATGGTGTAAGTAATGCTTTAGCTTAGTAAATAGTAAAATAAATAAATGTGAAGTAGTAAGTAAGTAAATGTAGTAAGTAGTAAAGTAAAAATGTAATGCAGTAACAGTAGTAAATAGTAATGTAGTGAAAGTAGTAATATAAGTGGTAAGTAGTAGTAAATTAGTAGTAGTAAAGTAAGTAGTAAGTAAGTAGTAATGTGGTAGTAGTAAGTAGTAGTCCAGTAGTAAGTAGTAGTGAGTGGTAATGAGTAGTAGTAGTAGTAGTGTAGTGAGTAGTAGTAGTAGTAGTAGTAAAGTAGTAGTAAGTAAGTAGTAAGTAGTAAAGTAATGTAAGTAGTAAATAATTGTGTGTAGTAACAGTGGTAGTGAAAGTAGTAGTGAACAGTAGTAGTAGTAGTAGTAGTAAGTAGTAATGAGTAGTAATGGTAGTAGTAGTAGTAGTGGTAATTAGTGGTAATGAGTAGTGGTAGTGAGTGAACAGTAGTAGTAGTAGTAGTAATGGCAGTGGTAGTAGTAGTAGTAGTAGTAGTAGTAGTGATAATAGTAGTAATGGTAGTAGTAAAGTAGTAGTGAAGTAGTGAGTAATAGTAGTAGTAAGTAGAAGTAGTAAAAGTAGTGAGTAGTAGCAGTAGTAGTAGTAGTAGTAATATGAGTAGTAGTAGTAGTCAGTAGTAGTAATAGTAAAAGTAATAGTAGTAGTAGTAATAGTAGTAGTAGTAGTAGTAAAATAGTAGTGTAGTAGTAGTAGTAAAGTAGTAGTAACAGTAGTAGTAGTAGTAGTAAAATAGTAGTAGTAGTAGTAGTAGTAGTAGTAGTAGTAGAGTAGTAAATGGTGAGTAGTGGTAGCAGTAGTGAGTGGTAGTAGTAGTGGTGGTAGTAGTAGTAGTAGTAGTAGTAGTAGTAGTAGTAGTAGTAGTAGTAGTAGTAGTAATAGTAATAGTAGCAGTAGTAATAGTAGTAATAGTAATAGTAGTAGTAGTAGTAGTAGTAGTAGTAGTAGTAGTAGTAGTAGTAGTAGTAATAGTAATAGTAGTATTAGTAATAGTTGTAGTAGTAGTAGTATAAGTAGTATTAGTACCAACAGCAGTAGTAGTAGTAGAAGTAGTAGTAGTAGTTGCAGTAGGTAGTAGTAGTAGTAGTAGTAGTAGTAGAAGTAGTAGTTGCAGTAACAGTAGTAGTAGAGGTAGTAGTTATAGTAGTAGCAGTAGTAGAAGCAGTAGGAGTAGTAGTAGTAATAATAGCAGCAGTAGTAGTAGCAGTAATAGTAGTAGTAGTAGTAGTAGCAGTAGTAGTAGTAGTAGTAGAAGTAATAGAAGTTGTAGTAGTAGTAGTATAAGTAGTATTAGTAGCAACAGTAGTAGTAGTAGAAGTAGTAGTAGTAGTAGCAGTGATAGTAGTAGTTATAGTAATAGTAGTAATAGTAATAGTAGTAATAGTAATAGTACTAGTACTAGTAATAGTAGTAGTAGAAGTAGTAGTAATAGTAGAAGTAATAGTAGTAGTAGTAGCAGGAGCAGTAGTAGTAGTATAAGTAGTAGTAGTAGTTGTAGTAGTAGCAATGGTAGTAGTAATAGTAGTAGTTGTAGTAGTAGCAATGGTAGTAGTAATCAGTAGTAGTAGTAGTAGAAGTAGTAGTAGCAGCAGCAGTAGAAGTAGGAGTATTAATAATAGCAGCAGTAGTAGTAGTAGTAGTAGTAGCAGTGGTAGTAGTAATAGTAGTAGTTCTAGTAATAGTAGTAATAGTAATAGTAGTAGTATTAGCAGTAGTAGAAGTAGTAGTAATAGTAGAAGTAATAGTAGAAGTAGTAGCGGAAGCAGTAGTAGTAGTATGAGTAGTAGTAGTATGAGTAGTAGCCGTAGTTGTAGTAGTAGCAATGGTTGTAGTAATAGTAGTAGTAGTAGTAGTAGTAGAAGTATTAGTAGTAATAGTAGAAGAAGTAGTAGCAGTCGTAGTAGTAGTAATAGTAGAAGTAGTAGTACAAGTAGTAGTAACAGTAGTAGTAGTAGCAGCAGTAGTAGCAGTAGTAATAATAGTACTACTACAGTTAATACTCATATGTGGTACCTAAATACTGCAGGTATTACCAACGATTGTTAACTTCACACTACAATTAATACTCCCATGTGGTACATTAATACTGCAGGTATTACCAACGATTGTTGATATCACACTACAGTTGATACACACATGTGTTACCTTCATACTGCAAGTATTACTCCCGATTGCTAACTTCACACTACAATTAATACTCCCATGTGTTACCTTTCACACTGCAGGTATTACCCCCGATTGTTAACCTCACACTACAGTTAATACTCCCATGTGTTACCTTCATACTGCAGGTATTACCCCCGATTGTTAACTTCATACTACAGTTAATACTCATATGTGGTACCTAAATACTGCAGGTATTACCAACGATTGTTAACTTCACACTACAATTAATACTCCCATATGGTACATTA